CAGCCAGAACGTAGTTGGAGTGTGTGGAGTCGGAGGAGACCACTAAAACGCAACACCTGTGAAAACAACAGACGAACTTATCTTGTCCCAGATACTGAGCTTAGAAAAATAAAGGTGAACCTGCTCTCAGGGAGCAGATTATCAGGTCAGGCTGCTTATGATCACACACAATATCCAGCACAAGGAATGCTCTTTGTCACATGTGACCACTCCACCACTTACAATAACATTTCTCTAAGTACAGCAATAAAAAAAAAATACATCGTCCCTGGAGAGTGGTGGCAGTGTGTCTGTCGGAGGCAGAGTCAGTAGTCCTGTTCTAAAGGGGCAGTGCTAGGAGTCAGAAGGCAAAGCGTGGTGTCTTCATAACTTCATTTTCTTCACCACAGGGACTGGCACAGCTTGAAAGATTTTGGCTGCATTCTCCTCAGTGACGAGTTTCACCCAGATTGGCCGAAAGCTGCCTTTGAATCCAATGAACGCCATTTTATCTGCAAACCGAGAGCAATAAGTGAGAGGTATGGTGTGACTGCAAGCTGGGAAGACACTTGCTTATGTGTATGCACGCACACCCCCATGCCCCACACTTGTATGAAGCGACGAACGATGTATGAAAGGGGGGGTCTACAAGTGGTAAAGGAGTTCTCTTGTCCTGAAGCTTTATTAAAACCTTATACTCATACTGCGTAGAGTAAGTATTTGCAATAGTAGCTCATTTGAGACATTGCAGAATATAACCTTACAGAGGGAAACAAGGGGAGACAAAATTTCATGCCATGCCATTTAAACCACAAAGGGCCTTGTTACACCTTACGCTGTGGGCTGCGCACATGTTGATCGGTGTTAGTGCTAGTCACACCCTTAGTCTAGAAACCTTCTCTGGCTGCCCCCACCTGCACAGCTGTGACTTGTCATTAGAGGCCTGGTGAGCAGGGGCAGGATTAGGAGCTGTGAATTGCGTCTGTAGAGCTGGTGAGTCAGGGCCAGCTTCTATACCTGCTCTACAGGTAGAAGTATGAGAGATCCTGGGCTACTGGAGGACTTCAGCTTGGGTGGCACATCTGTGGGGAGTGCCCACATCTTAATGGAACTGGAGCTGGGTAGTGTTAGGTAGTGTCGGATCAGGGATAACCCTGCCCTGGAGTGGTGTAACTCTGAGCTGCATAACGAGTGCTTAAAAGTAACCAGGGGTTAAGAGCTCCAGGAGCCACCCAAAATTACTGAGTAACAAAGTAAAAACTGTTGTTGTTAGTGATATTGTGGTTATATCCAAAAGTCCCTACTACCATTGTACAAACACACAGAAAGAGATAATCTGTGCTTTCCCCCCACCCCAACCCAACCCAAGCCGGTAAGAGAAATTTCAAAAGAACCGAATATTTCATGGAATATGCATTTCTGCCAAAATCAGCCCCCTTCGTGAGATCATGCTGAGTTTGCCCAACTTGTGTTTGAGAAGAAAACCCAAGAGGGTGAGGAGAGCATGAATAGCAGAGAGGGGAGTTTAGTCATGGCTGAAATGTCCTCTTTTGACCTTTCGGTTTTTTGCAGTGGAGTGTTTCAGTTCTTCATTTTGAAATGTCTTTTCATGTTGAGATATTTTATTTTATTTTATACAGATATTTTTAAGTTAAAACTTGAAATCTAAATATATTAGCCAACCTCAAAACATCATTTTTTCAGAACACTTCTCTCATGAAAAACTTAAAAATGTTCAGCTTTAGTAGCGATTCAGAGGGAAGCCCAAATCTTAATCTCAAAATCCTTTATAAAACAAAAACCTATTCATAATAACTTGTTTTAGCCCAAATCCATCCTAAATCTGGCTCACAATAAACAGGAGCCTTACTATGAGGTCCAAAATGTCAGACTTATTTAACTCTGCCTCTGTAGCTACACATACTCTACGCTTTTCTAATCATCTTGTGGTACTGGTTGGCAGCTTTACTTTTATCCCTTACTGCTTCCTTTATCTCAAAGCAAACCCTTGCTAACGTAGACAACAGCTAATTCAGAGACGCATAAGCTTTCATAAGCAACAGCTTGCTTTGACAAATACTATCAAAAGTGTAGCCTTTTAGGAGGGATCTCAGGACAATTCTGTGTTAATTGTAGCACTGGAGATGCAAATTATTGCTGGGCGGATATGAAATTTGTTAGCTGATATGAAGGGAATAAGTGTACATGAGCAAAGCAAAGAGGCTTTGGAAGTTTAATATGGCTGTTAACTCGTGCTGTACCTGACGGTCACTGTTACTGGTTTAGAGGTCCACATGGTCCAATAATTTAGAAAACACCCCGGGGATTCTGAGTATTTTCACTTTCCAGCATATGTAAGGACAACTACCCTAGGCACTTTTCCCCCCTGTCTGAACAGTATAAACGACCTTCTTCAAACTGCTGTAAATACACTTTTGCAAATAAGTATCTGTCCAATCCCAAGACTTTGTAAAAAAGTGGTTATTTCTCAGTCTATATGCCTTCTCTGTCCAGGGCTGGATGTCTCTACGGATTTGGGCAGCTTTTCCAACCCATCCCAAAAGAGGAAGCTAAGCTTCCCTCTCACCAGCAAATGAGTCCAGTTAGAAGCAAGGTCAGTTTTAGCGGGAGAGTCTGTAAAGCAAAGTTTCTGTTTTTGTTTTACAGTTTTGAAATCTGTTACCTTTTAACTTTAAACCTCTCTCAGCTCCAAGCTTTTCCAGTACTTTAATCCATGGTCCTTTGGAAAGGTATCTTCCCTTTGAGGTCATCAGCACTATAGAACTAAAGAAAGCAATGACATTTTTAAACAAATGAAAAGTGATCAAACATCCTTTGCAAGCATGCTTAAAACATTGGTGGCAGTCATCTGTGTGAGTCCATGAGCAGCGGTTCATGTTTTTGCTGTTTTCGTCTGATGTTCAGTGACTTAGTCATGTATTTGCTTTCCCAGTCATGCTTTCCGAATTTGCTTTCCAGCAATTACAGTGTGTTGGAGGAGCCTCCCAGCTTGTGCACAGGCACCTTCACACTGGAGGTACTAAATTTAATGTGCATTAGCAAAAGCAGATTAATGACCGTGTGAGACATGCCCATTGTTGCTTCTAAATCACATTTCTTTTCACTTGGCTAGAAACTTTTATTTTTTTCAAAACCTTTGCTGCCAGGGAGCCTTAAAAATAGTTTGCACCCAATGTGAGCTATTTTTGGTGTCTTGTGGGGAAAACTCATCACAAACTGAATTCATTTTAAAATAGGATACTTGGCCTGCAGCGAACTCCTGCAGTGAACTAATAAGTTTGTCAGCCCTGGGGGAAAAACTGAAAAGCTATAGCTCAAAGAGACTAATAACAAAAGACATCATTTTTCTGACATTTGGCTGTCCTAGATAAATGGTAGGTAGGTATTTAACTGCTCTAGCTACAGGTCCGGCCCTTTTCAATAGTCTCCCATTGTAAATGTACTGCTGGATTAGGGGCTGTGAGCTTTGAATTGCTAAAAAAAAATACTTAACTGTCATGGACATGCAGGGTAGTTAAGAAGCTAGCAGAGGAGACATAATTCCCTGCCAAGATGCATTACACTTGTATAAGGTTATTAGGTGTCTACATCACCCCACAGTATCATATTTTGCCTCATGTAATGGCCTGTGTTGCATATACATGGCCAAACACATTACACAGCTACAGTTCTGCCCTATGTAGCTAAGTGTATTTCTCCTGCACATGCTTGGAAGTGATTTGGTGTTGCACTAGAGATGCCTAAGTCCATCTGTTGTGAACTAGCGCTACCACAGATGCACAGAAATCCCCCAAACTGTAAACAGCCACAACTAGCAGTGCTTGCTGTATTTGCCTGCCATCAGCTCTCTCACCTACCCAGGACAGGAGAGCTCCTGGGGTGCGGCACAACGCCATCTCAGTCTCTTCCCAAACTCTGCTATCAGGCTTATTACCTTTCTGACAATTTGGTTGTCATGGTCACTGCAGAGGGCAGGCACCCTGTCCCCAGCTGCTTCAAGTAACCCTGAGTTGGAACCTGAGCTGGATACATTCCTGAGGGAGGGGGGAACCTGCTCCCTCTGTCTAGGTGACTGGCCTCACACCTGGGTGGGGGCTTAAACTCCCTATTGTTCTAAGCAATAACATTAGGACTGGGGGGGGGGGGCTAGAGACCCTGTCAGTCTACCCAGCATCCAATGATGCCTTTCAAATTGGTTGGCTGGCAGCCAACAACTGCTGGCCTTCATTGGATCAGGTAAATGAGGTCATAAGGTCTATAAAAGTTAAAGATTGCCCAGGAGGAGGAGCAGCAGCCATGATGAGGACTCTGAGAGAAGCTGGGCCATCTGAAACTCATTCTCTGTCTTGAAACTCATGATCAATGAACTGCTTGCCCCCAGAGGGAATCTCCACCTGCCTCTGGATGATACTTGTGGGTAAGCTACTTGAAATCTAACTAGATATATAGTTTGCAGTAACTCAGATACGTGATCAAAGGTTACCATGCCACTGTTTGCTCTAAGGGTTTTCTCTGATAATGCTCTACCCTGTACCCCACTCCAAACCTACTCCTTGTAACCAATAAAGTTCTCCTCTGTACCTAGCGTGGGACACTTATTGGAAAAGGGTCTAGATTATGCCTTGGGGTCCCCTTGGTTCAACTGACTAAGAGAGACCACTTTGGGCTTCAGACTGCAGAAAGCACCCCAAGTTCTTGCAGTGGGTTAAGTACCCCTCAAGGACTACTAGGCCTGTGTTTCCCAGGGGGTAAAGGGTCAAAATCAGTCCAGACCTTGGGTGGTGGCAGTGTTACCTCTAGGCTTGTGGGTGTGCTCCAGGAAGGAGGTCAGTCAGACATGAGGTGCCCCCAGAGAGGCACTCAGAGCCTGGAAGGTGGTTGGGCTCAGTGAGGCAGGTGGCTCAGAGCAGGAGTACTCCCTACTGGCCTGCCAGAGGGGAAACCTAGGTTTATCTCCCTCTGAAGGGATTTGAATCCTGCTGTTCCACAGAGCCAGGCAAGAGTGAGAGCATCTTCCTATTGAAACCAGGTCACTGGGTAATCAAGCAGGAAAACAGACAAGTTTGTGTTTCAGGGAGGTGCCTTAGCAAGGGTAACATAAGGTCTTTGACTGTTGGCACAGTTTGCAGCATGAACACCGTATGGTCCCAGAGGCTGGGCGGTGGACACGGTGAGCTCCCACAGGCAGCGCCAGTGCTGTCAGCAGTGGGAGTGTGGCGCTGGCAAGTGGTGAGCTCCTGCAGGTGGGTGCAGTGCTGGCAATGGCTGGAGGGGGGGAGGAAGGCAAGCGCCACCTGCAGACGCTGCTGGCAGAGTCAGCAGCACCTTTTTGCAGGCAGTGCGATGCTAAGCTCAGGGTGTGCACGTGCACCCCCTACAAATCGCCAATGGTTTGCAGTACAGAGTATTTGGGAATGCTGTACAAACAGGAGTGGAGGCAGAGAACAGGCTGCTTTCCCTTGTGCTCCACCTGCCTGGAATGCTCTCTGCACTGAATAAATATTAGTTACCAACATTCATGCTAGGAGATTTTTTTCACTGGGTGAGCACCCCACTGGTGTTCCCCCTGCAGGGCATAGTTCACTGGGATACCCCCTTAGGAGGGCATGCCCCACAGCAGGATGCTGGGCTAGAAATTGTGCTCTTCCACATGGCCTGGTGCTCCACCACTGTCCTGTGGGTATGTCCCCCCAAGCAAGGCAGCACTGTGCAGAGATAAGTGAGCTAGCTCAGTGTATTCCAGCTTCTAAAAAAGAAATAGCATAGCCATGTTAGCACAGCAATGCTCCTGGCTAACTAGCACTGATGAAAATAAGAGCTAATGAACATATTAATGAATATGTCTTTACTGTTTTCTGGCTTGACTGTGCCCCTTGTGGTGTGGCACCCTCTGGAGCTGCACCACCCACACCAACTGGAGTATGGCTCTGGTTACCAGACTGCATATGAGAACACACACACACACACACTGAACAAGAAGGAAGGACCACCTGAGCCTTATTGCCCACTGGGCTAGTGTGGTTTAGGCACACCAGTTTCTTAATCAGCACACAAGGAAGAGATGTGGCCAGCATCAGATCTGACTACCTTTGGCTTTCCAGATTGAACTACCAGGTATCCACTTATAGCTGGAGCAACTTTTGATACGAGTCCAGAGTAGAATTTAAATTTTCACCTCATAGCAAGACATTGTAGCCACTCCTTTAAACAAGGAAGTGCATTTAATATAGTCTCACCAATAAAAAGGACTGGAGCCCTCAGCTCTCAATAAAAGAAGTATCATTTATTATGCATTTTATTAGTATTCAACCTGCATAGATTGCTACCCTCCAGCATACTGGTGCTTGGAACATGTTTGGTACTCACTGTACTAGCTGCATGACTCTGGATCTCTGGCTACCATGTTTACAGCAATAATAATATGCAGCCCATGTGTCTGGGCACTCAACATGTGCATGGACTGCTCATGTACTGTATTAATGGAATCTGCAGATAACCAAGAGAATATGCAGACAATAAAAAACAGAGGGTATGAGCATCTGTAGCTTATGCAATGATAAAGTCCTGACAGGTCATTTAAGGATTTATAGTCCATGCTTTAGAGCTACTTTGGAATTCAGCTTTTGGATTTGGCTGGAGCCAGTGGATACTGAACTATGGCATGAAATGTTGTGCAACTCTGGTTCGTGTTTGGTGACCAGGGCTGGGAAAAAGATTAATGTCTGATGAGTGTGTCTATGTGTTACTTTTTTCTTGAGCACTGGATTATTTACTCACTTGTCTTTGATGTTGGTGACATACTGGTCTATCTGTGCTGGGATTCCCTGGAGAATAGCGTTTTTGAAACTTTTTTGGTTGACAACTTTTCCATTTTGCCCTTCAATCACAACTACTTGGATTCCATCCTCAGTGAGGAAAATCTTCTTGCCATCAGCCTGCAGAAAAGAAAAATAAAAGGAAATACTTGGCAAATCAAAGAAATCCAAAGTCATAACAATTCACTCTAAGACATTTCATAACAGCATTGTTTTGCTTCAAGGAACAATACTCCTCATCTCTTTGCTTGGGTGGACTTGAACCTACAACGTGCCAAACTTTAGTGGTAGCTTCCTACATTTGTTCTAGGTAAAAAAGGAGTGAAATTTGCCTCCTTTGTTTAAAAGGCTAGCAAGACTGGATGAGAGAAACCCCCTACCTCGATATATGCGAAGTCATCTGTCAGGTGGAAGTATCTTGTTGTGTAGGTTTCTATTTTCACCTCTAGGAAATGGTCTTTATACATCTGCTCACACACAAAAGAGAAGAATAAAGTGTTTAGAGGCTTTGTACATTCCCAAATGCTTCATTATCAGAAAGCTTTTCAAACTAGACCAATTTCATCAGCAAATCAGATACCTAATATGTTGTGTATTGCCAAATTACATTGATAATGAGATCTGGGCAAAATCGTAATTTCTGTATTCAGCCTATCCACATTAATGTTTGCTGGTTTCCCATAAAGAAAAAGTAAAGGCAACTCATTGTGCACAGCAATATGTCACTGCCTGAGGCCTAACCTCTGCGGGCCTACTCCAAGTGAGAAAGGCAACAAGGATGACTGGGACCAAAAATGGGCATGTCTTAGAAGACATGGGGTTAAGCACAAGGCTTGGTATGCAAAGGAGGCATGAAGCTACACACTCTCCTCCCTGGCCTTGTGTATGTAATGGGCAGAAGTAGCTGCCACAGGCGAGGTGTGCCTTTCTTTACTGTTTCCAATTATTCCTGTTTCTTCACCAGCTTCTAATGCCGGCAAGTGTTACCAAAAAGGGCCCCAAACAGCTCACTGAGAATCGCTTTGTCAACCCCTCCTCTCAGCCTGTTGCATATGATTAGTGTGGCCCCACACTCCATGAGATGAAGCTGAACCATCTTGCCCTGCACCTCATCTGCATATACATTTTTGGAGAATCACAGGACTCATGACAAGAACACCCAGTTCCAGTCATGACTGGGGGCTAATTAGCGCCTGGATCCTTTCTGGGGGTATGTGGAGTGCGTGCGCGTGCGCGCGCACACACACACTGAGCAGTGCTGAGTGGTGGGGCCACCATAGCTTGAAATGCTGTTGACTGGTGGGGCCCAGCCCAATGAACTATATGGTAAATCACAAGCCTTTAGCTGTGACCCAGTATCATGCATAGTTTGTGCTACTTGTATGTAGTACAGTGATGCTCAGAAGTGTGTTTATGGAGTTCCTGTGCTAAAACTTGCAGCAATTTTTAAAAAAAAGGTTGACATGCATCAATTCTGGATAACATAAGTGCATGGGTAATATATGCATTTGTACAGCTTTGTTTGATTTCAAGGTTATAGTTTTCAAATTTTCTTCTCACTTCTATGTGCTCAGGGAGAGCAGGGTCTGATAGTAAGGCAAGGGGGAAAGGACTGCAAGGGGAAAAATTTGGGGGGAAGCAGAGAGTAAATACAGTAACTGCTACAGCTTCAGCTGTCTAAGTTTTTTAGGCATCTGTTTTCTCTACTTGCAAGAGCCTATTCAAGCTCTTTTTGCATTGCTGGGGTATTTCAGAAGACAATGGATAAAACTGATCTTGTACAGCTGGTCCCAGGCCTACCTGGGAGGATGCATGCTAAAACCACAACTTGACAAAGGAACAGAACATCGAGAAAAGCAAACCGGGCACTTACCAGCCCAGTGTTGGGTAACTTCTTAGGCATTGGCACATCTACTATTGGTGTCTCAATGTATTTGGGATAGGCCATAGCTGTACAGTCACTGATTCCAGCATTCTTGGGGATAACTGCTTTGATCCTTATTCTTTCACAGCCTTTGACAGAGCAAAAGGCAAACTTGTCCTTCTCATTCTGCGCTTTCAGTTTCAGAAACAGCAACCTGTAAAAGGAAAGCATCAACACACAATTGCTGGGTGTTACATGCCAACATTAACAAGTAAAGGAGGTAGTACAGTAATACTTAATGCCTTTCAGCAACACATGTAATCTAGGGCGAACTAGTAGAATATCCCAGGGCGAACTAGTAGGATATTTATGCTAAATCACACATTGGGGTATACATAAATATATGCACATATATGTAGATGCATAAACCTACTTGCTATTTTTTGGTAGATTTGTGAATCAATCTATCAATCATCTTTTAACACAACCTTAATTTTTTAAGGAAAAGAAAGAGTCCTACATCTCCAAGAAAATACATGTAGTGTTTAAATGTGTTAGGTCCCTCTGCATTACTGTCTTGATGCTCTGAGAGACTTACTGCTTAAGGGTTTTAGGTCTCATTTGCAAAAAGAGAAGGGCTTTACACTGGTGCAGAATAACTTCATTTTCTGAGTTGGGCGTGCCTCTTTCTTCTGCTTTTAACTTAATTTGCATTCTTTTGGCACAGGCAGCAAGTGGCAGGGCCTGGGAGCTTGTGAACGAGTGGCAGCCCCATGAGTCATAGGGATATGAAATGCTGCTCATGAGGAATCTGTTTTTTTTGAGCTTCCAGTTTGTACTTGCATGGTGTGCGCCAAAACAATTTCTGCTTCAGATGTTTTTCTCATCTATCAGTCTAGATGGACAACAGCTGTCTCCTTACCCAGTGTCCTCATCCCAGTAGTAGTATCCCTTGGTAGGGTATCTGTATTCCAGTTTGTCCATCTGCAGGGTCCTGTAGAAGGTGCCTGTTTTGTATGTTTGTTTCAAGAGACGATTGTGGATGTCTGAGAGGATGGAAAACGTTGTTTTTTTAGGGTAGCAAAACCCTACTTGAATCCAGTCGTTCCTAAAATAGGAAAGACCCGCATTATACCACATTGACATATGACTATGACTTTCCTGGGCATGCCATAAACCAAGTTAAATAGTTCAATCTGAGATGTAACCTAATTCTTTCGTGGCTGGTTAAAAATGTAGTAGATGAACCAACACAATCTCATTTAGATTTAACTTGCAGATAACATCAATCAGTTAGCTAAGTAATTCAGGCCAGGCCTATTCCTGATGTAATGCCATTGGCTTGTATTCACCAGGGATGAGTTTGGTGCTAGACCTTTTTTTACCTTTCGGTACATATCTTGGGGGACGTACGAATTTGAGATGAAGAGTGAAAAGATGGTGCAGCTCAGAGTGGGCTGGATAATTAAGTCAGCTCATGACTATGGCAATAACCTCATTCTTTAAAAATGCTCAGCTACATTAGCATTTTGGAATTCTGGTCTCATGGGTTAAGAGTTCGAGGGATCACTCACTTGTTGAAGTTGATGAGCCATATTGTCAGTTCCTCGGGGGCTGCCTTGTCCCAGTGCACGGTGTAACCTTTCCTCAGGGTTATAACTGGCTGGTACTGCTGGTAATGAGTGCTTTTGCTTAAAGCCCCCTCCAAGGAAAGAGGACGATCAGGGCAGTCATTCTTTATGATTTTCATTTGCAAGTTGGCTGGCTTGTAGGCCTGGATGTATATCTAGATCAGGAGAACAGCCACAAACGGTTCAATGAGATAGTCAAATATTTCAGAGACAGATACTCAGTGGGGTAAATCAACATAGTTTCTTTGATTTCAGCAGAGTTGCACTGATGCACCTCAGCTGGGAATCTGGCTGTATATCTACATCTGTATATTCAATGTCTTGCAGTTTATTTTTAGCTGTGCTTGAAAAATACATTTATCTTCTCATGACCTGCAAGCACACAAAGCACTAACAAAGACACCCAAAGAACATTCAACAGAATTGTAGTGTCACAGACCTTGTGCTGACCCTCCACCCAGGAATAAGCGTCACCACCAGAGATCTGACTTTTAGATAAATAGGGGCTAAGTAAGTGGCTTCTACCTTAGACTGTAAAAGGTAGGAAAACCACAGCAGTAGTTACAAGATGGCTTTGAGGATATTATTTTAAAAATACACTGGCAACACCCAAGACAAAGCTAAAAAAAAAATCACCTTACAAAAAAGAAAGTGAAGGGCTGGCTGTAAGCAGAGGCATGAGGGAGAGTCTTCGTGGCAGGAAAAATGTTTTTTTGTGGTTAAATCGCAGGACGGGAAGTCAGGAGATCTGGATTGTAATTTTGAATCCAGAGCAGATTTCCTATGAGACTACGGGAAACTCTCTGTGAGACACTTTCCTCCACAGAAAGGAGGAAAGTAACCCTTCCCTGCCTCACAGTCAGTTTGTGCAGCTTAATACAGTAATGCTCAGGAAGTGCTTGGAGATCTTGAGATGGGAGATGCTGCAGAAGTGAAAAGTGTTATCTTCGTTGTTGAATATTTGGGATTAAAGATTGTAAAGAGCACCCCAAAATGGACCACAGTATTTATGGGCAACTCCTTTCTGTGTGCAAGAGTACACAAGCAGATGCCCTGTTAAATGCTATAGCATCCTAAAAAGTGCATGAAATTCTGAAACTTCACTGCTCATGAGTTCAAGTTCCTAATACCAAGAGATTTTAAATATCAGAATATTCATCTCTTCTCAACCCCATGCTCAAAAGCAAAGACAGCATTGTAATGTACCTGGGCATAGTGTCCACTGCAGATTGAACCCCTCCAGTCTGGTACATCAATACAGTCTGGGTGTTTGATTAACCAGTTATCTTCCTTTATCAGGTATGAACCAGGGTACTGTGACACAGATCCATCTACATCGTGAAAAACTGATGTTTTGTCACCATCCATATTCAGTTTATTGAACCAAGGACCGGGTTCTCCAAAGAACACTCTTGAGGTAATCTAAACAGAAGAGAGATACATATTTACATACCAGTATACTTAGCGTTTTAGGTGAAGGGCAGCTCTGGCTGTTAGAACAGCTCAATGCAACTATTTTCTGATTTTATCCAGCACTGCAACACAATAATTTGAACAAGGAGCGCCTTTAGGGTTTGCTGGCCTGTTTACAAGTGATGCAATATAATTGAATCTAATAGTTTCAGAAAAGGCCATACATTCTGTGTGTCCATCTTGAGACACTTTATAACTTGTTTTCAAAGGTTCTGCAGAAAGCCAGTGGGAGTGCCTGGTGCCCAGTGGCAGCTCCTGTAGGAATCAGGCTGTGGATATGTGAAACTGGAAGAACCCAAAAAATCAGTGGCTACCTTTGGCAAAGTCATGTCAACTAGCAGGAAATTCAGTGATACTTATTCTAGGATACTGGAATGGCCCTTCTTTTGTCTGTACATGGCTGGGTGCTGGAGGATAAGCAGAGCTGGGTCATGCACTCAGAAGCTCTGTTTTTCCACCTGCCCAGGTCTTTCCAGCATCCTACTCTCCTGGCCCTAGCAGTTGGGGAGGAGAAGGTGATTTATTTTAAGAACCAGAGGAAGATTCAGGGTGGAAGTTGCCTTATCCGATCAAGTTCTCTCATCTCATCCCCTTATTTTAAAAAAGTGTATGCACTACAGAAGGTTGTGCTTACACTGGAAGCAAATCAGTTGCCTCCCCTGAGATACAGCTGCTCATGTGAATTGTGACCAGTGTTTTGTATCCAAGTTAAATAAATAAAATGTCCTAAGCCAGCCTGATGCAATATGGATCTGTCTGACACTTCTAGGGAGTTTTGATCTTCCATCTAGATGCTTGGCACAGATTTTTAAGCACTGTTTCCCATGGTATTTGGTAAAAATTGAGGCTATCAAAATCATTTTTGAAATCCAAAGAAAGTGGGCTTGGGGTACTCAGGGGAGGGCTTGTTTTTCTCAGCTTTTTTGGCAGGGAAGCTAATCAGCATGGGACAGACTAATTGGCATTGCCACTCAGCAGTGCTAATTAGCCTCATATAAAGAGCTATTCTGCTTCCAGTTTAAGGTGCAGCCTGCTTGGGGGGCCAGAGGAGCAGGAAGCTTGCATAAGGGAGCCACCATTAGGCATGATAAATTTTTCTTGACTGCCCATCTTGGCTGGAAATCTCAAAGAGATGTTCCTTATTAATATTTCCAGCTTCTGGTTGGGCCAGTACTTCTACAAGAATAGCTGAAAACAAGAGGGCTTAATTTTCCCCTTTTACACCAACATTTCACACCAACCTCAGCTCTGTTAATTTCAGTGGCATTAATCCTGAGAAGCGTGTGGGAAAACAGGCCTACAGGAATAGAGAGATGCAGGAATAGGGAAATAATATTTATGAATAAGCTAAACATTTTTGCAAGTACGTTCAGCTCTGCTTTGCCATGCTTGTCCATTTGTTACTTCATCCAAGCCAGTTTTCTCATCTGTCACTTACGTGTAATTTGCTAAACCCCCAGGGGTCATCTCCGCTAGGACACTAAACTTCCAGTTATGACATTAGTTTTCTCAAGGGCCGTGACCCGAGTCATCTTTTTCACCTAGTCCATCTTATCCTCCAAACCCAGTGGCAGAGTCTGATCAAAGGAATAACGTACCGGGACATCTTCAAAGATAATGTTTGTGACATTGTTGTTGGGGCAGCTCTGCCAGGCATTGTTGAGGCGGAAGGCCAGGGCACTCGTGTGACGGCCCTCCAGTGCAGCAAACTTGCGGAAGGTGCAGTTCTCAACGCTGATTGGCCCGTCGTAGAACTGAATCCCACGAATGGGGAAATCCCTACAACGTGGTTGGGGAGGACGGGAAGAGGAAGAAAGAGAAAGCAATTTGGTCACAATTGGTTGGCAGAAGCCATGAGTACCCTGCATGGTTTGGACACTCAGCCGGCTGACACTAAGGTGGGGGGGGGGGGGTCTGGGAAATCCTTTTCTCCTTATGAATTCTGCTCAAATTTTCTCACATCTGAATGGACCATAGTTATCTGGTCTGGACCACTAGAAGGGAGGAACTTTCAGTGATGCCGAGGCCTTGACCTAAATAGAAAATATCTTCACTGGAATCTCAAACAAGAAACATAGCAGGGTAACCCATAATGGGTCTGAATGACATCAGTGCTACGATCCCAAGACATTTTCCCCTGGAAGCTAGTTATAAGCAGGAGGAAGCCTCCAAAAAAAATCAGCTTTAAAGAAGCAAAAATGATGCAGCCTGTAGGATACAGTTTGAAGTTAGCTGGCACACATCAGTTGAGGGAGGGATGGGGACAGGGCTTCACCGACCAAAAATGTCCACCTTTCCCCAACTGACTGAACCGCAAGTGGTGTGGCAGGCTGCCAGCGTTAGCTACTGCCCCTGCCAATGTAAAAGTCAAACTTGGATGATAACTCCAGACCATGTGAATAATGAGATCATTTAAATGTCAGCTAAGAGAGACAGGTATTTTTCTCACATTCTGTTTTAAGCAAATGTGATGGCCTGTCCCTTTAACAGGCTCACATAAGAAGTATTAGGACTCACTCAAAATGAAATGAGTTTGGTCCCTTTCTCACAGGAGTCTTTCTACAGATAACCTTGCCACTCATGTGAGTACTTCCTGTCACTGGAAGTTTGTACTGAGTTCCCACTGAAGACAATGGGCTGAAGACAATTTTATCTAAAGGGCAGTAGGGCTGATTACTGACTGAACATCCTTTCAATAGTGTCGGAAGGATGGACCTCCTGTGCTTCCACTGACAAGCAGAGTGAGGAGGGGCATGTAGGAAGATATGATATTTAGGTTCTTTCTTTACAGGCTGCTCTTAGGATAACTACTGCTTTTTTAAGAACAACATGATGTATTTGCAAAATCAACTTGTAGCACTTAAACCAAGGAAGATGCCACATGCCAGCTTCACCTGCAGTGTAATGAGAGCACAAAAATCATGACTGTACAACTGCAGTGGTGGCAGGTACCCTGAGGAGTGCTATCATCACACCCCTACTTGACAAAACCCAGGGCAGGGGCTCAGTGGGATGTTCTACATGGGGTATACTTGACTTGAGTAGAGATCACCACATTGTCCAGGCATTTCTCACCCCTGCACAAAGCTTCCCCTGCTAGTAAACTCTCCTGCTTCTTCAGGAGTCTTTCCCAGCCCAGTTCACAAAGGGGGGTATCCACATTGTCTTGGCAGCATATGACGGCAGCTGCATAAAGAGGACTTTGGAAATGAGAGACATGGCCCAAAATGCTTTGTGTAAAACTCCATCTGTTTAAACTACGTTGAAGAGCAATGAAAAAATATAACCGTCTGGAGTCTAAGCCAACAAAGGGACAGGAACTGTTTGCTTGTGCTGGAGGGAACTTACTGGCCTATAGGGAGGGTCCTCCCTCTGTGATCCAGGCCACCAGGTCCCCAGATTTCATTGTCCATGGTCTCTGTTCCCAGGTTTTCACTTTCACCGACAAAGAGACTATTCTTTATTTCTTGCTTTGAGCCATCGTCGTGCGGAAATGTTCCACCGCTAGGGGAGACAAGGCCATACATTACTGGGGCTGCTTATGCCAAACCACTGTGGACTCTTTAGTCCAAATAATAAGATAACCAGCGGGAAATGAATGGCACTTACCTAGCCAAGGTCAGGCCAATGCCATTGTCCGCAAACCTGCAAGAAGAGAAGAATGGGGAGATAAGGCTTTTCACCAGGTTGTGAAAGGCTTAGGCGCGGGATATCCAAACCAGCAGGGATTTGTAGTAAAAACAAGGAGGACTTGGATTAACTAGCATGAGGGAGATTGCTTTCTTTTAACAGGGAGGTGGTGCAGAAATGTAGACTTGGCAATCTCATTCACATTCTAGTTTTATCGCATGACTTGGAGTGTAGAGATCAAGTGAAGCCACCGTCCAGTGTGCACCAGAACGATATCCTGACACTGCAGGGGAAGGGACTTATCTGAGACTTATCTGTCTTTTTTCAGCTGTATGCCACAATCCTTTCACAGTTATGCAAAGACAGCATGTTTGTCTCTGTCTCAGACTAGTTTCTGTTATTTCATAATTCTCAGCCCTAGGCACATCTCTGTTTATTATTCACATTGGCTTTCCATGGAGCAATTTATAAAGGGACAAATGTTGCATAAGGAGACGGTTTTGAATTCTATTTTATCAGAAATTGGACAGAAATAGGGGATGGACCTGAATAAGAAAACTTGGATCACAATATCACCCAGGTTTGGATCCGGATCTTAATTTTGCAAATGGCTCTGGTTTTATAATGGGCTAAACCATGACTCCAGATTCAAACATTCCCCTGAGCCCCTACTAAACTGTGAGGAAGTCAGAATCCAGTTTTAATTTTATAGCTTGAGCTCACGTCTATTGTGTGCTGACACGATTATCATTTTTATAACATGTTGCTAGAACTTCACACTCGTTCTCTCTCTTACACAATCAGTGTAAAGCAGAACAAACATCATCTCATCTTGATTCTGTCCCTAGGTGGCAGCACATTACAGGCTATATGGCTTTTATTTATTATTGCTGCAGCCCCAGAAATGTGCATGGCACATCAAGATCTGTTTTAGTAATATAATACATAGGTCTTATTGTAGCAGCAGAAATGAAAATGACTGCAGCTATAAAAACAATCCCATCTTGATGCCTACATCCCCCATTCAGATTCTCTCCAAAGGACCCTGCTGGAAACTGGTAACAGGGAGACACATATGAACTCTTTAAGAAACCTTGGTATTGCACTCAGCAATGCAAGCTTCTAAAACACACGCAGCTGATCCGAAAAGGCAGAATTCATTGCCTTTGGAATGCTAGACATTTCTGGTTCATAAGTTCAGATGCAGAACAAACAAGAAGAAGCCCGGCTATTACATTGCTGTCAATTCCGACTCACTCTCTTGCTAATCTAACCAGGTCACTAAGGCCAGTTTAGAGCTAATGGTCACTTTAAAAGGCCTGGGTCATTTTAAGGTAAGGCAACTGGATACTATATAAAGAAATTACTGACATTCATACTAGGGTGCTGCAATGTGCCGTGTAAACTAGCCTTTTACTTTTTTCCCCCCTTTAATTGACATTGATATCAAGAGTCTGGATCAGCAGCAGAAATTGTAGAAGATCATGTGTTCCCAAGTGTAAAAAGGGTTTGTTCTCAGCAGCACAGGAAGCCACTTTCAAAGAGCCTACAATGTGCCTTTGCCCAATTCCTCTCTCTCTCCCTCCTGTGATGCATAGCATCTTGGGTACTGGCTTATTCAGCATAACAGTAAACCACATAAAACTGAACTATGACCCCAAGCTTAGGTCATTTTTTTTCCAAGCTCTTTCATTTTTCATGGAGAATTGTTTATTTGAGTCACTTTTTGCTGCTGCTTGGAAACTCTGTACAGGATCACAGGCAAAACAATCAGACGGACTCTTCACTTTAGACAAAACCAGTTTTGTTTACATAAAATAATGCTTGTGCTTTCTTAATGTTTCGTTTTTATTTTAATCTTGACCATACGAAAGGTGCAAAGCAATATAAATAGTCTGAACCACAGTTATGCTTGACATAAATTCCAATTTGAGCTCCTTGGGCTGAAACAACGCAAAACTTACTGGCAGTTATCCAGCCACACATCTCCACCCCTCAGCCAGGCCCCGTGATCCTGGTTCTTGTAGGCAATAAAGTGTTTAATTATGGCAGGCTCTCTCGGCTTCAAAGGGTCGGCATCTTTGTGCGGGCTATACCTGGAACCACGAGAAAAGAAGAAACTGTTGGCAATGGAAGTCATTCTTGCCCAATGAACAGCTGCTGCTGTACCTACATGTTCAGTGTTTGTTGGCATTATTTCTGTTCAGGCCTGGGTCATCTAATCTAATAGCCTGTCCTTGACAGCAGCTGGTACTGCCAGCCAGGAAGGCACAAGAAACGCTGCAGTTGCGAGAGAACCTGCTTCAGGAAAACGTTTCTTCTGATCCTTTCATTATTTAGATGGTGACTCAGGCCCTCAAGTGTAACAGTTCATATCCCTTCCAAAACTCCTGGGTACATTTTTTAACTTCTAACTGCATTTCAGGATAGTCCTGTTATCCACATAAATGCTTAATTTGTTTCTTAGAACCATGTTCAGCTCTGGATCGGCCGGGGCCCTGAGCTTTACAGGCTCACTGGGCTTTCTGGGGAAAAGTAAAGATGGCACTGAAAAATGAAATAACTTTGGCAAGATGGAGGCATCTTCTTTGCTCACCCTACTACACATCAGCCAGGCCACAGATCTGCTTTGAAGCAGATTTATTAGCTTTGAAGTTCTCAGGCAGGATGAAACATTGGTTTGGTGAGACAGGGCAACAAGTGAGACCAATGGAAGCTGCAGAAAAGCGGCTCCACAGCTGTTGTGTGCCAGCCTCCACCCTGCTGCCAGCCTCAGAACGAGACCTGCTACAATGGCATTCAGTTCGGTTGTCATGTATGCCTGCTCCTCCGGGGGCAGCTCTCCTTTTCATTACTGACAGAGCGTCTTCTGTCAGATATAATGCGGCTTCAAATCCCTGACCGATTAATATCCAGTTTGATGCCAACAGTGGATGGCCCTGAGATTAAAATTCCTGGTTCAGAAATATTTAATCAGGCTGTGCTGTCAAATCACTAACAGAAAGTCTATAGCATTTTGTTTTGCTTAATAAACCATCATATCAGTCTAAAATTGAGCACGTGGATCATAAGGTTCCAGTAAACGAATGTTGTTTTGGCTGCTTCTATTACCATAGTGCTAGAGGTTGGATTGAGCTTGGATTTATACTGCTTCTACTGAAAGAAAAGTAAAAGCTCATAGTAAAGCGGTGGTTCTCAACCTTTTTAGACTTAAGGGCCCTCGCGATAGACTCAAGGCACTGCTCAGAAAATGCAAGCTCTTAGTGTTCATTCATTTTTGGACTACAGAAAAAGAATAAAGCAATTCTTCTGTGGCAAAGAACTCAGAGTGCAACAAGTCAGAATGGTTTTAATACTATGGATTCCTATTTGAAATTTCTGGGGTTAATTTGTGACTCATACTTGCATGCTTAACAGTGCTAACGTGGTGTAGCATCCTGCAGCACCCTTCAAAGGATTTTGAGACATCTCAGGGTGCTGAGTCACCCTGGTTGAGGATCGTTGCTCTATATTTATGAGTTCAGCTCAGCTTCTGTCCCACTGAATTCCACAATGTTGCACCATGAAGTGTTATGATTTTAGAGATCATTTCTACCCTTATATACGAAAGCATGAATTGCATAAACCTTTTATCATCAGCTATTGCGCCTGAAACAGGAACACATTTTCCAAGGTATGTGCTCTAATATAAGAAAAGGCAGCCTCAAACTCTCAGTTGAATTCTGAGGTTTTACTAAAGTGTTAAAATATTCAAGTTTATGGAGCAATCATCTTAGGCTGTCTTGTAAAAAAAAAAAAAGGCAACTATTGTGCTTGTTCATGCTTAGGTGGGTGATGGTGTCACAGATGAAAACGTAGAGCTTCTGAAGCCTCAGACCCAACAATGCAATTCATGCACAGTGGCAAGGAGAAAGTGAAAAAAATATACAGCCTATTCCCACTGAGCAAATTATCTTCAATGGGTATCTGTCCTCCACACAGGATTTGTAAAGAAACCCAGCCATGGAGGAGTATACCTGCAGGTTACTGGCCTATTTGGAAGGAAAAGTGAGAAAGTTTGAGTCACTTGTCTCTCCCTGGGTTGGGAGTCTGAACTCAGATCCAGACAGAGCTATGTGCAAGCAACCTTTCCTTTGGGCTGCACAAAGCCCTTTTGCTTATATCAAATTGCTCTCAGCAGCTGTTGAGATCTGCTAATATGATATATTTTAGCAATTAGTCTTTTAAGGAAATTTAAATGGGTTTTATTAAGACTTGCAGTGAGCCAAGCACATTAGTGGAATGGTGGAGTTGCTTTATACACACAGTTGCTGTTGTATTTTCAGATTTGGACCTTTATGGAAAATGAAATTTAGAAAAAAATGTAAGATTGACAATGTGAGCATGTCCACTTCAAACAAGGGCCTGAAGAATAAGAAAACTCAGCATGTTTTTTCTCCTAGATGTCTCTTCATTTCCCATTCCTGGGAAACTCTTGCAGCAATTTTTACCCAATTGGCATTAACTGCCCACACAGCATTTTCTCATTTCTATAAGCTCTATAAGGATCTATAAAGAACATTACAGACACCACAGAGTGCACATAATATCTGTTCCATCTTAATTCAGAAATGAACAGAAAGGGCTTTCTTGCCTGTAGGGGGTCTGGGAACTTTGTGCTGAAAAACAATGGGAAGAAAAGTTAGCGGTAAAGTGGAAGCCCTTTGCTCAATAAGAACTTGACACAATACCCACTTAAGTAACTGCAGCTCCCCGCTCCTCCCAGGGCCCAGCTCTCAGTCTGTACCGTACAGAACTTGATCTAAACCACAGTAACTGTATTACCTGCCAGAAATCATCGTCAGGATAGGCCTTTTGTCCTTAGCCGATGCTGGTGTGGTTTTGACCCCATTATCAATCATCATTCCAGCCTGAGGAAATAAAAAGAGTCTCTGTAATGAATGCACACCCTTTATATTTAAATCTGAGGGGCAAATTTTCAGATGAAGTAACTTTGGTTAAGTCCCTTTCCCTCTATACCCTCCATTTTACCAATACAGAAAATGATACTGGCCTCCTTTGTAAAGAGCTTTCAGATTTACTGAGGAAACATGCTGAAGCCCTATATATACCAGCACCAATTGCTGAAGAAAGACAATGCACTGTTTAGAGCGCGCATCTGAGATTTCCATCAGGGAGCAAAGGATCAGATTTGCGCTGTTGTTGCTATTAAGTTACCTTGACAATCACTTGAGTGCAACGTTACTCCCTTCAAATTCACCAGCTCTCACCAGAACCACTCTAGGCGCCTCACTTCTCCCATTTTTGGAGCAGCACACATTTAGTCACTCATGAGGCATCTTTCTATTGCATTACAGTGGTTACAACCAACGTTGAGGGAAGTATCACAAGTATCAAGATGTTGCTGAGTAAAGAACCATTCTCACTGACACATAAGTGGTTTGGCTGTGACAACATGCCCGGAAGTGCTGCCCCTGAATCTGTACTTCTGAAGATGGTAGCATGTTATCAACCACTCCAGGCGTGCCTACACCACCCCAGCACTGTGCCAGGGAGCAGTGTAATGAAGCATGCTCCGTGTGCATTACATCCTAAAATGGAAGGAAGGTAGCCACCTTCTTGTGGACCTGGGTATACGCCTGTAAACTTGTCTGAGAGAGTTTACTGGCGCATGTCCGGTGACACGAGTTCTGATCTGGCAGGGGGCGTATGAGGAGCGGCTGCCTCACAAGGCAGAACTGAGCTGGTGCAGCCAGGCCTTCCGGGCGTCCCCTCCTATATCAGTCTAGCTTTCCAGGCTGATGTTCTTGTCTGTGACAAGGGCTCCTCAGATCTACACTCATACAAATCAGAGAATCAGAGGTGTAAGTATAAATGTTAGCGTCATGGGCAAAACTTTGGCCAGAGGGCACTCCTTTGTCACATCTGGAGCAGTCCTGTGCTCCCCCAGCTGGAGAAAGAAACCCTGCTCCTATGGTCAAGCAGCACAGGGTTTCTCTAACTTGGCTTCTAGGGCTGGGTGGCACAGGGCTACTCATACTGCATCCCAGCACATGGCTCCTATTGTCGGCAGTGCAGGGCTTCTCCAGCTCAGCTCCTATGGTGAGAGGTGGCAGGGCTGCTCCAGAGGCAGCAAAGACTCTAGGGTGGGAGGTATCATTCTGGCGTCCCCTCTAAGTCCATGCCTGGGTCTGGTATCCCTCCCACCCAACCAAGTTTACACTACTGGTACACGTGATAAAATAATCACTTCTGCAAGTGGTACATACAGAACATAGGGCTTTCCACTCTACTGTGGCCTGTGCACAGCCCTTTTTGATTTCCATGACCAGTTCAGCCCTTCTCACTATCCATCTGAATATGTGCCGTTGTCTAAAGGCATTAAGTAACAGGCGCAAGCTCAGGTTTTCACTGAGTGCCAGAGTGCTGAATGTTGGGATGAACAAGTGAAGACATTTAGGAGGTAATTAGGCTGAGATTACACTCTTTATCCCCTGCAGATGCTATCTGATCAATGGCCAACATTGGCTGTGGAGATGTATAATTTGGCAGGCTGCCAGTAGATGCAACTAGAGGCACCATTTTAGAAGGGCAACAGTAGAGAAATGGACTCGGTAGAAATGAACAAAAATGTGAACTACTCATCTCCCATGATCCCGCAAGAGGGTTTCTTTTTCTATGCTCTAAGTATGCTAAAGTAAAGGTAGCATAAGCTGAATCTGTAAGCACAATTACTCTAGGATACAGGCCATTTTATATGGAGCCAATTAATGATACGGAGCCAACGTATATAGAGCAACTGATGGAGATCGGTTTGTAATAACTTGGGATAAATCAGAAATCACAGGCATTAATAACTTGCAGGCACAGAAAACTGGAGAAGGAAAATGGTGTTTTAGACATGGACATTATTTCCATGATGTGCAGACTCACTCGGTTGTTGGAATGTGCCCGATTGTTGTAGAATTTCCCCATTGGAACGTGCTCCGAGTAGCCTGGGGAATACATCCCTGCAGAGGGCCCCGTGGGCACATGGTGCAAAACAAACCAAAATCCTGTTTCCTGAAAAAGAGAGCACAATGTCTGAGCCTCACTTTATCTTTTTTACAGGTTTACATTAGTCGGGAGGGATTGGGGGGTACTTATCAAACACTGCAAGATAAAAACCTGCAGCTTGCTGTACAAACAACAGGAGGTAACGTTCGTTTGAGTAACTAGATGCAGTAAAAAGTTCTACACACATGCACAGCACACCACAGTGTTGGTTACAGTCACTATTTTTAAGATGCTATAGTTAAGTTCTGAGATACCTGCTGAGACAGTTTCCTGTAAGCTGGCCTGATTACACATAAACCCACTGGTGTCAACAACACCTTCACGTGATGAGCATCTTTGAAATCAGACCATTTCTACTTAGATGCCTAAACCTGGATTTAGAAGGCCCTATCATTTAGAAATCTTAGGAGAAATAAAGCCTACTGAGGGGAGTGAGAATATCTGCAGAATTAGCATTAGCCCTAGTTTAAATGTCAGCGCCCTGTCTCCTATTAACGAACTGCTTGAATTACTGATCCTCTACCCCCCAGTAGAGTCAATAGGAGCTTGGCCAATGACTTCAGTGAGAGCAGGGAGGTGGTTCTTTAATTCATCCAGGCTGTGTGTGAGAGATGTAGGATTTGGGAATTTTGTTCAAGTAATCCAAGTCTGGAAACTCTAACTACAGCAAATGACAAAAGGAGGAAGAAATGTAGGGCACATTTTATTGGTAGCACTGGCTGCATTTATATATGCTTGAGTTTGGTTTTCAGAAAGTGCCTGTGTGGGAAAAGCAACTTTTTTTCCAAAAGGCATCAAAAAAATTGCAGGGTTAATACAATTGTTCTGAATTTTCTCCAAATAAGGGACTTTTGTACTCACTTCAGATCCTGCAGCTGCACAGTTGATGAGGTTGTTGTGTGGGTTGGCGATCCAGAAGGTGGAAACAGCACTGCAGATCAGTAACAAAAAATAACATGAAAATGATATGGAGAGCAAACTGAAGAGCTAGCATTCTATGTCATATAGCACAGGCAAGTCTGATAACTCAGCAGATAAGCTTGCGCCTAAAGGCTGTAACAACTGGGGTTTCCTTTTTTCTCATCATGTCACACCTGTTATCATCATCGACAAACAGAACAAAAGGCTTCTATCGTTAAACATCTTGAGGAACTTAAATGAGGAATCTCTTTTGAAACCCTAAGTCTGCTATGAAGCCGTCAGTTGTTAGTAATATTTTATGATAAGAAAAATCTTCACAATCAGGGCCCCAACTTCACTGGAGGGTGGTTTAGCCACAGAATCTGATTAAGTGCTTCTATGGGCTTTTCCAAGCATACCCTGGCATCTGATTTTTCTGTATGCTTCTTTGATTTATTAACTGTATTTGCTCCTGCCACCCTACACATTTCTTTTATGACAAATACCTGGTGCACTTAAGGCAATCTCAAATGAAAACTCATGTCAAAGAGAAAAGATAAATCTATCATGCTATTGTCCAGCACGTGACATATAGGCAGTCATTAAATTACATACTTATAAACTCTGGGAGGAAAACTGGATGGTTAAAGCTGATGTTTAATTTGCCTCTTGTGATTTATAGGTGACATTTGATCAAGTGTAGAGCAGCACAATCCTTATGCTTACATCTCACTCAACCACTATTTTGAGGATTTCTGAGGGACCTTAAATCATGCATTGGCCTTAGACTGGCTTTGCACAAGGGTGAGATTTATCATGCAACTGTAGCATGGGGCTGGTTAGAAAAAAGCTACTGAAGAGATTGCCAAAGTGATACCAACACTGTATTGACCAGAATCTCATGTCAATGTAATCTCTGACAAGTGCCAAATGATTAGGTCTACCAAGCTGGTTCCTTGAACTCACCTACACAGGCATTCAGATGCATGTTGTCAACAAGGGCTGGCCTATTGTTTTTAACTGTTGACAAATTCTGTCTTTCTGTATATTTTTCCACCCATTGTATATACCTTGGCAGCCAACGCTAGCTTTTGCTTTAGTGCCTTGATCAGTCAGTTGCCATGAGATAATATATCATGGAACTACTTAAAATAATAGTGGTGTACTTCTAATCAACTAACACCAGGCAGTCCTGGTACAAAACAATGTATTTTTCATGATTAGCTTGTGACTTCTGCTACATGGAAGATCCAGATCACAGACTACTAGACGGACATCTGCGTTTTTCATGTATACAAACTGCATATAACTTTCTAGCTATCAGCCTTCAAATGCCACACAAAATGTGGCCTGGGACTATGATATAGACATAGAACATCTGTGGAAAAAAAATCAGTGAAATGCCTGATTAAGCATTATTTTATGAATGGAGACATGATGTTGTCTATAAACAAATGCAGATGTGAAAAAAGGCGTCACATGAATTTGATCTACTTTCTTTGCCAAAGCATGGGCTAAAAACATGTTTCTTGGCATCAAAGCACCAGTTTGTTCTGAAGACAGAAGGGAAGAGGCATTGGTATGAAGTTAGATGATAGAAAGTATTTTCAACTATAACCAAAACCAAAAAGAATCTTTGGTTAAAATGGATTATCCGTAGCGAGGGTGAAATCCTGGCTCAACTGATTCTTCCATTGTTAATAGGGCCTGGATTTTATCAAGTTTTAATGGGGGGATTTTTTTTTTAAATTGCAACCTTGGAAAGTCCCAAGTAATAAAGTTCTAACATAATAAGAAAAAGTGGTCTGCTTTTTCAGAAATCTTAATAGGTCATTACAAATGCAGTTTAGCTTTAGAAAAATACTCCATCCTGAAAGACCTGCATTCCCATGTCTAGATCAAATTCACCCCAGTAGTTTGTAGCAAACATTTTTAAATTCTTGTTCTGCTTTGCCATTGTACCTTGCTTATGCACCTCAAGGCCAAAAATCCAGGACGTGCACAACAACATTGAGTTAAAATGATAGAACACTGGAGAAAATCCTCTCTCAAAGTCTGAGAAGTCCCATTCAAATCAATAGAACCAGTCACACAGTAAAATACTATGCACGTGGTAGATGCTGGCAGAATTTGGCACTACAGTTTTATTGTAAAAGTTTTGCTAATGAGACACTGAAAAAAGGTAGTTAGCTGCCATTACCAATCAGCTGTTCATTCAAAGCCTAGTTCTGGGATGTGCACCTTGTTTGTGGGGAGAATGCAGCCATGATGGAGATGTTTCTCCTACTCTTCATTCAAGTCTGTCTCTCTATACCTACAGGCTATTAGAATAACTGAAAAATGAACTCTTGTTAAAGCCCTTATTTCAAACATTGCCAAGATGTTCCCTAAAGAGCACCATGAACTTGAGTTGTATGGACTGGAAAAGATTTTTTAAAGAATTGGATCTTGGTAGGTAAGAGATGAGGTTGCTTAGTGTCTCTTCAAAAGTGCTCAGCATTTTACAGGGCTGGGCTTAGAGTTGTGGCAAACAGAAGGAAACTTTAAGAAGGTCTTGGCTAAGTACAGTAAGTTAAAACCCAAGACTGAATTGATTAACTCTTCACAAGTCTAAGCTGCATAGATTGAACCGATAAGCAAGTGAACAGATCCAGAAGCTGGGGGGCACTAGAGCATGCCTCCCTGATTGGCCAGAGTAGATACCTTGGGCCAAGGCTAGCCCACCCACCCTGCAAGGGGGCAGGGGGCTTGCAGGGGAGATGCAAAGCATCCTGGGATGCTGAGGAACTATGAGTTAACTTGAGTCTGGAGGGGATCTGGGCAGAAGTTCAATAAACTGATTTAACCTAAATCAATTAAGTCTGATACTATATTCACCCAGATTTATCTTAAACTGGTTTTGGTCATTTTGAAAGCAGTTTATGTGCACTGAACTTCTGTTGTGTTACAGATTTGAACTGGTTTCCAATCACCTGGGCTAGGGACAGAAGTTACACATAAACCAGTTTAAGTGATCAGAAACTGGTTTAAGCCTGTAACTGAACAGAAGCTCCATGCACATAAACCAGTTTCAAAATGGCTGAAACTGGTTTAAAATAAAACCTGGTTGAATGTAGTATTAGACTTAACTGATCTGGGTCAAACCAGTTTATGAAACTTCTGTCCTTCCTTGTTCAAGTTAAATCACATTCCCCCAGCATGCTTTCCAGCCCTGGGCTGGGCTCGGCTGTGCTGTCTGCTCCAGAGAGCAGGGCTGGCCCTGCCCCTCTGCTCCCTAGCTGCAGCAGTAAGGGCTGGCTAACAAGGGGGTGGAGGGGGCAAGCCCAGCTGGGGAGGCAGCCCAATCTACGGGGGGGACTGCTCCCCCCAGAAAAACCCCAGCTGGGATTTGGTGCCAGGGAGGGGGGCTAAACATCCCTTCCGCTACTCAAACTTACTGGTGGCAACTGTGGACTACAAATCCCAGAGGCACCTGGAAGCAGGAAGAAGAAGTGATGAGCAACCCTGCAGAGTCCTGCTGCTGTAATTCTGGACTGCAAATCCCCATGATTTTGGAAGCAGCAGGAAGAGAAAGTGAACACAGAGCCAGAAAGCCATGCTGTATTGCCCCCCCGGCTTCTGGCCTGAGCTACTGCAGGCATGTGGCTGCTTTTCCTGAATCAAAGGTAAATATCTGTTCACTTCTGTTTCAATTTAATCTGTGCAGTTTAGACTAATCTGCAAAGACTGAATTGATTCAGCCTCAGGCTTTTTGACTGTCTGTACTTAGCCTTATACCAGTTTATGTGCAATTTCTGTCCCTAGCTCTTGCCAGCACTTTCATGCCCTTGCTTACTTTTGGGAAGTTATTGGGAAGTTCAGTCTGCAAATACCATCTTTGATTTGCCACAAGCAATTTCCAGTTCCTCACTGAATTAGATTTTATCAAACTGTTTGGATTTCAACTTGCATTTATATACTCCATCCCCAGTGAATGTTAAAAATGCTACTAGTGGGTCAGATTTTGCTTCCTTTACTCACTGAAAAAGTCTCCCTTCTCCAGAAGCAGAGGGAAAGTAATCAGCGGAACCATATAAGGTGCAATTAATGCTGTTAGCAGAATCTGAATACAGAAACATTTTGCATTCTTATGATGGCGTCGTGACTACATAGATACAAGGCAATGGACAGCAGGCCTATCTGTCTTCATATTGTACTTTGAAAGGGATGTTTGTAATAATACCCAAGAGAAGTAGCATTTGCGATGACCTTAATGCTAAAAACACTAAGCAAAATTATACTGTCTGGGTGTAAATATGTATATAGCACAAACAGAAACATCCTGAACAACCATCCAATCTTGTAGAGCATGTAACCCAGATGCCTGAAGCAGAGTACTTAATTATATACACTCAGGCCTGTATCTCGTGGATCAAAGTTAAATCCTGCAAGGGTAAAAACCAAAAGATTTCACACTTACCTGCAATCCTGCCTGGGTTTGGGGATATATCCTGGATAAGCCCCTTCTGTAATCATCTTGCACATTTTACTGTCTCGGTCAGATGGTAATAGAGTGCTAGGCTTAATAAGCAGTCCAAGACAATGATCAAATGTGTTGCGTTCCTCTGGCCCATCCTCAGTAAAGAAACAGTGTCCCAGGGTGTTATAGCCCACAACATCCTTAACCTGCAAGTACAGAAAGGGGGATACCTTCAGATTTAGTTTTCAGCCACTGCAAGAATACTGTTTGCCTGTAGTGTGGTGACAATTAGAGCCCCAATAAAAGATCAGGACCCCACTGTGAATAAAAAAGTGGTCTTTACTCCTATGAGTTTACTATCTAGGTGACAGTGTATGATACTTGCTTGAATTAGAATTTGCCATTTAGTGTGCAATGCTAATTAAGTTTTGCTCAGGCTTTCTGAAAAAGAGGGGATAGTATTCCAAAGCTCAAAGTGATGAAGGGGAGGTGAACAGGAGACATCATATACTCAGACCACATCTGGACTCATTCTTTTTGTGTAAAATTAAACAGACAGCTTGGTCAATGGCCAAAAATGTATCTGCTAAATTGAATAAATGTATTTTTTTGGCTACCAGAGAGGCTGCAAGTTGTTTACTGGGCAGGCTGTTCTGCTTATGGTCTGATTTAACCTTCTTCCAACTTGATGACAGAAACTTTAGTTCATTTGGACACAAATCAGCTGCTGCTAATCAGCATAGTAGCTGGAAAACAGGAATGTTGTAGCTAACATTGGAGACCTATTGTCTCCAACAGAAGTATGCAGATTTAACCCAGTTGAAAATCTGGGACACAATTTTTCAGAGTAAAAAAGGTGATTTACAAGCCTAAGCATTAGGCTGGCCAGCAAAAAAAAGTGAATCTGAAAAATTCTGAGGTTTCAGAAAGTGCTTTTATTCTTTGGTGGAACTAAACCTTTCACCACGTTTCATGAAAATGAATGTGACGGAGAAGCAGCCAGTGAACTTCTGACAAGGCTGTTTACTTCTCTCTTTCCTTTCATCTCCCACCACAGAAATTCCACCTTGGACCTGACGCATCTTCCCAATTTACAGAGATGGAAACACTGGGCAAAATGTTTTGCTTTTGGCAGAACAGCACTTTTAAATGGGAAAAGACTGTTGAAAAATTTTCAGTTCCTTCATCCCAAGGCCCACCTTCAGAAAGGACATAAGTGTTTAAGAGCTGAACGGCATGGGCACATGTTACTACCCACATGCATGTTTTCACCCTATGGTAAATGACTGGAAGGCAAGAGGGTACCCACAACAGTTATCAGGAAGTAAGGGATGGACAGTACATTTCTACCCCCTTTATCTCACAGTAACTTCTTTGTGTGCCCATGCCTTAAATCTCATTGCAAGTCAATGGGACTTAGGCTCCCAACTTCTGAAAATGGAACTTAGACTCCTAAATCCTTTAGGTACTTTTAAAAAGTGGTCTTTCTGTCAGAGGTCTCAGATGACAGGATACAATTTCCAAACATATCCCAGGACCAATTTTAAAATGGTTAAATACATTCTCTTGTAAGAAACAATATTTGGCTTGCCAGCTCTGTTACAAGCTGACACCTGCAAACACCTCTCTTATGCATAGCCCTTGATCCAGCATAAATATTCAAGTCTCCAAATTCAAATTATCACAGTAAATTAAACATTGTTAAAATGACATGAGACACAGCACATTCCTTTAAATTACCTCTCTAAAATCTGCAGCTAACTCTCCTAATTTAATTCAATGGCTATGTCATTCTAACGCCACTTTATTCCAGCATAAAAGAAGAGCACCTTTTCAATTGTCCCTTCTTGGAAAGCATGACATTTGCCAGCCTTGGGCACGATGTTTGCCAGCCTTGTAATTATAAAAAAAATACTATTCGATGCCGGAGCATCTCAGTGAACTACTTTCAAAAGTTGTATCCCAGTCCTCAGGGGAAAGTCTGCTAGTCATACAAATGCCACAACTGCAGAATGAATAACTGTGTCAACCTAGTATTTTTCCCAAGCACAGAAGCAATATTTAAAAGAAACATAAATAATGCTTGTGCAGAGTTTAGCTGCTGAAAACTGACAAGCGACACCTCAAACATTCCTTCAGCTGCCTGATGCTCCAGTTCATCATCCCCGTGAATTTTGGCTCTAGAACCATAATGCACGAAGGCCAGGCAGAGAGAGACAGAGAGAGAAGCTGATGCCTGGCATTGATAAGAACGCTGCAGTGCCAGGCATCCTAATGTAGGAATTCAGCTGTGGGGCCAGATGTTGGCTGTATGCACTGAACGACACCAACTGGCCAGATCTGCTCCCCAACTTCTTAATACCCTTTCCTTGATCAATTACTTTCCCCATCGCTCATACTTCGCTTGCTTCACTTTTGTCATCCCCTAGTCTGTTTTCCTTCCAGGATCTCAGGTATTAGCACAGTGCTGAAAACATGAGGTTGTAAAAAATTGTGGCATTGTGTTGATTTATCTAAAAACCCTTTTTCCAGTGGATCTGCTTTTCAGATTCATGAAAGTATTCCTATTAGTCCATCAGTCTATTTTAACAAACTGTAACTTAAAACCAACTTTCATGCAAGAATACCTCATAAGTAAATCAGGTGCTATCTAGTATACTTGGATTACTGACAGCAGATTCTAGTTTGATAATGCTGTGTTTATTCCCTGCAGCACTGTTAGCCCCAGGCTTCTGCCAGACAGTTGATCAACCTCTATTTAATTTCCATCCCAATGACAGCTTCCATTTCAGCCCCTATAATTAGAGACCAGCTCAGTGACTTTGAACAGGGTAGAAATCAGGGCAGAATTTGATCACTGGGGTTACATGGTATAACTGAGAATTGTGTAACGGTCAGCCATAGAGAAGTAGGGTTAGAAGGGACCTCCAGGGGTCATCTAGTTCAACCATTATCTGGTTAATATGGTAAAGACTATGGGTGCCTATACAAGAGCAGGGAGGTTCCTGCATCAGAGCAGACTCGATTAATTATCACACTCCAGCAGCCTCCAGCGTCTCGTGTATCAGCATCCCCACACTTCAAAATGGCGGCAGGGCACTTTAGATACAGCTCATTAAATGACCTTTAGATAAAGTGCCCTGCTGCCATTCTGAAGTTCAGAGACACTGATTTATGAAATACTCCAGGTGCTTTAATTAGAGCCACTCCAATTAAAGTGCTCCCACCCCAATGTGTATAACTGCTGTAAATTGTCTAATTAAGGACATTATCAAGGACTAATTGTGGCAGTAAGGGGAATTAAAGCACTTTGTTGTTGGAAGGACTCTCTGTGTACTTCCAATAAACAAACAGTCATGGACAAGCATAAAACAAGCACTTTGGTTACAGTCACAGCAAGGGGCTGTCTGCACCTATGTATAAACCCATGAAAAAGAGAATCTGTCCCCAAGAAGAAGTCTTATTTAGGGCTGATGTTTCTGAACTTGGTGCAATGGGCCAGCAATGGGAGAGCCCAGGGGGTGTATATGAATTTCAAGCCTTCAGTCATTTTAACTTGAATAATTAAATGCCCTACCCCCATTTGCTAAAGCACTTAGCAGACACTTAACTTCAGGCCACTTAGCATTAGAATCCATGGAATGGTCTGTAGGCCTAAAATTAAGCATGCACTCAAGTGTTTGCTAGGCCAGGGCCTAGTTGTCTCTTTTATGAAGTACACAGTTTATTCCATTTAAGTTCATAGCCTTGAGACTGAAAAGGGCCATGCACTTACCAAACCTCAGTGTAAACCATGCTCATTAGCTAGTAGAAAGCCTGCCATAGGCTTTTTGTACTTCATGTCTATAAAAACAGCTTTAAAACTGCAAGACCTTGCTAGTTCAGAGACACTTTAGAAGTCTTGAAATGGACACTAGTTAGGCAGCTAAACAGAGTACAGAGGAAGTTCAGTGGAGCCAACCGTTCTTGTGCACATAGGCTGCTTACAGATGTCAAAAAAGCAAAACAAAAGTGCTTTCCTTTAAGCTCGGCGTGCCGCTACATCGAGCGCAGTGCATACCCAACTCACCCAACATCTGTACAGATCGGGTACTTCGGTAGGGCTTTTTTGGTGCTTTTATCTAATAGCTGATTAAATCAGTTTTAGATAAAAGTGCCAAAAAGTCCTGCTGAAGTGCCCAATCTATACAGACGCTGTGGAGTCAGGTCAAATTAACAGGCTGCCTCTTCCAGTGATGTTTTTGTTTTTTCACATCTGTCAGTACCCATAAACAGTTTGTGCACTTAATGTTTGTTTTGGTATAGGCAAAAAAAAATCCCCACAACCTGGGACCAATGTCATGTTACTTAGTTAAGCAAATTATGCATTTATCTGGTATATATAAAGTGGAACACAAAGTAGTTCATTCAAAGACCTGGGCAACTTGTCTCCAGCATCTTGGGCTTTATGCTTACATGCTCACAAACAAAATAAGTGATATGCAGAAGAAATGGTAAGCAGATAACTTTCCTCATTTTCCTCAGCTAAGTTATATAAATGACACCCAGATACTACGGCATTCAGCAGCAATGCCCACTGCATGCAGCTTAGAAATGCAGGTAGTTATAATAGTCTCTCCTTCCTCAGAGACCTGCCTGAATTTTTGTGACTAACAATTTCAAGGCCTGGGGGATGGAAAATGGATCTCATAGCAAAAGAACAGACTGCAAAATCACGTTGTGCTTTGAGAAGAAAGGAGCTGATTGGTGTAGATGTCTAGTTATATGGGCAAGAAGACCAAATCTATTTTTAGTTGAAAATAGTCCATGTCATTTATAGGACCTTTAGAAATCAACTTTCATCATCAACTCAGACCAACATCGCTGGCCTGCAGGACACAGAACCTGGTTGACCAGATACTTCATTCTACGGGAACACAGCGAGCAAGCACTTGGGAGCAAATGTACCCAGATCAGGTTTTTTGGATGGAAATAACTATGGATTAGAAAACGAAAGATTTCTTTTTTTAAATAGTCAGACAATTAACATGGATTAAATTCTTAATGCAGATTATAGATTTTATGGTAATGCTTCCCAGCGGAGGCTTCTTTTAGGTTTTCTGCAATGAAATAAAACCCAGGATCCCTCAAGGAATTAAAAATGTTGAGTAAGTGCATCAGAACTGAGCAGTTTTCCTCAGTCAGATCAGTCTGTCTGCATTACATCATTGCTGTCTTGGCTGGAAAACGCCTGAGAACATGGATTCTTACAATATTTCCTAGTCACAACGACATGGTTTTCACTTGGAAAAGGCAAGAGAGATGAAACATTTCTAAATACTTTGCATAAACCCATCCATCTGACCCAGAAAAAAATAAGCCATGCACAGGGTGTTTGGGTTGGCAGTAGGACAAGCATTAATCAATAAAGAAGCAGAATTTAAAATTAGAATCAAGAGTTGATATTTTAGTCAAGCTACCAGCTAACCTAGAGTTGTGTAATTACAATACAGCTAGAAGATATGTTTATGGTACCATTATTAGGAACCTTCTCTCTACTCGACAGACCAACCCCTATCTAGTTTTTCCTTCCAGTCTGTATGCTAGTTACATTCTTGGCTATGCTGAGCTGTTATATGAGAGGCTTTAAACTGGAAAGTAGTTATACAACCGTGGATACCTAATATAATTTATATAAGGCAAAGTAGAACATACTTTTTGGGAACCAAGTCTCCTGTTGATTTTAAGGTCATGTTGAAAACTTAAAACTACAGAGTTCAGCATCAGAGATTCAGTTTTGCAACTAGCAGACAGAGACGGCTTTGCTGCTTTATTTGCTATTTAATTTTTCTCTTTTAACTTTTGTAAATCTTAATGATGCTTGTAACATATTCATCTAACTTTGCCACCTTTAAAGGCTCTCTTTTGCCATCCTTGCCAATGACGAAACTACAGGATCAGGTCCACAGATAAGGAAGTGTGAAAGACGACAAAGTGGATTGAAGTGAATAAAAAGAAAACAGTAGATTGTTGCCCCCACCCACAAGCAAGTTTGAATGCTGCAAACTTCAAATGAGTGGATGCATGTGTTTTTAAGATGCTGGTGATACATGGGGGAATTCTTTGTGCTCAATGACTGTATCACTGATAATGTCAGAGATGTGGTGTAGTGGTAGCCTCATATCAAAACACCAATTTGTTCTGGCTAGTCAGAAACCTGTTGTGTATTGGCTCCAATTTATATATGTTGCCATCACGTGGAAAATGCTGGGGTTCTTCTCATAAGACAACCCAGGTATTTTGAGGCCACGTTTTTGGACCATTGTCTAGAAGTTCAACTCTTGGTTTTTATGTTTGTTTCATGCCTTTAAAAGTTCTGCTTTCAAAAAAACATTTCTGAACTTTATGAATGTGGATAGGGCTTTCTCCTTCATGCATTCCCAAGATGAACACATGTGGTTGGTTATGTGGTTTCAGTGCTAACATCCAGATTGTGTCTTTGGCTCAGGGTCTAGTTACCCTGAAGCAGCTGGGTGAGTTGGGCCCCGTGATCTAACTCAAATTTCTAACACAAGTCACTTTCAAATTATTCTTAAAAACACGATGAGGTTCAAGCTGATGCACACACTAAAGAAAACAAATCAAGAAAACCTCTTCCTGTAAAAGAAGGCACTAAATGCAAAAACAGCAAAGTATAACATAAACTAGCATAACAGTGGTATAGAACATGTGTGTATTCTGCTTACATCTACTTTGGAGTAAACTCTAGTCTACACAGTGTTTAGGGCAGCAGTGATGGTGTCCTTTGAAAAGGTTAGAGCATTTTTCTTCATGGCCTTCGCTATGAAGATCCCCCATTGTTGCATGAAGTTTGCTGTTCTTGCTATGATCTCTCCTATGCTGCAACCTACTTAAGAAGTTGTCATACTACAGAAGGTCTACAGGATTTCTTTCTAGTTCCAGGCTCTGTTAAATCAGCATTTATAACATAAGCAGCCAGACAGCTCTATTTCAAATGCAAATCCTTATTACAAGAAAGCTTATGTATCCTCAGTTCTGGTAACTATATTCTTTAAATAACAGTCTATAGATAGATTCAAGTACCTATATAAGATGGGCTGGCTTTCAGGAATCGTGGACTACAAGGGCATTTGGACCCCTCGGCAGCTGAGTCACATGCAGAATTTGGCCCAGAGTGTTACATTTTTATACTGTGTTCACATTTTAGACATACCTTAAAACACATTTGGCATTATATATCATCCAGTAAGTCCAGAGTGAAAGAGAAGGACCCTTCATTTAACTCTGAAAAGCACTCTATTTTTCTCAGTAATGATTCTGGCCTCAGTGGTATTTTAATGCTACCATGGAAAAAACGGAGAGGTATAAAATGACAACTTCATCAGTAAGGGAGCCATTAAACTGTTATCTCTTACCAGCAAGCCATTGGAGCCATGGACTGTGATACAACGTGAGAAGGCATGGTGAACAGAGACATCCTTAACATAGCTTGGCGGGTGGTAGCCTCCTTTTTCATCCACATCTCCAGCCATGTGGAAGTGAATCGGGTAGTGCCCCATTGTCTGCTGGCCCATATGTATCAATTCTAAACCTTCTATATGGACAGCCTTAAATCCAACAGCAACCTGGAGAACAATAAAGCACTAATCAAGAGGCAGGAAGAATATCTGGCTGCTTTTTGAAGGCTGCACAGGCATGGCAAGTTTTCAACTAGGATGACTGACAGACGGGCAAAACAATGTAGGGAAGATGAAAAAAAACTATATTGTCTTGCATAAAGTTCTTGGGCTTGATTGCAACTCATGAGAAAATGGGCTCAAATCAGAAACTATTAAACTCTGGGGAAGCTGGGCTCTAGATGCAAACTCTATTTATTACCTGTGTGTAGTTAACCCAGCAGGCTGATTAGGGAGTTGTGAGAGTGGGATGTGCACTACAAAGAGGGGAGAGGACAAGCAAAGGGACAGCTCTAGTCTACTCTAAGACAAGCCTGTGTATTTTACAGGCCTGTATGAACAAGATGCTTCAGGCCATGCCATGGATGCTTGCTACACACAAGTTTTTGCTTCTGCAGAGAATGGTATGAATCAAGGAAAAAAATGATACCTTGATGTGCCCCCCAAAGGTGTCAAAATCAAAGAAGGAGCATAACTTGTTGCTGTATTCATAACATTGCTTCTCTGTCTCCCCGAGAACCACTATGTTTCGGCTTAGCAGTCCCACTTCTGCTCTCATGTCAACTCCGTCGACAACTTCTCCTATGTGAAGGTATGTTGCTTTTCCTGTGGGAATAACATGGGATACTATTTTTATTCTGCAAATACTGCATGTACCAGCTTATTCTTACTGCTAGCAGGAGCTAGAGTGAGAATGTTTTGACTGGGGGGGTGAAACTTGGTCCTGCTGAGATTTCCTTAGAAGAGGAAGTGGGATTTGTGGTGTTTGACTGGTTCTTGTATCCAGATGCTAAAGTAACAATTGCTGGCACACATGGTCCCATTTCTCGACCTGGAAGACAGACAAGGTGATAACCTAAAAGAAGCATTTCTACATGACCTGGAACACAAGCAGATTTGCACTGTAGCCAGATGCGTAAGATCAGAGATGAGATGTTGGAGTGCTACTGAAAGCGATAAATCCCCCTAACAGATAAGCAAAAAATTATTTATCATGGGGGATTCCCAAACTGTGGGACACTAGGAAAGACTCAAGAGTATGTGGCCTGCCTCATGGACCCAGGTGAACCAGATCCCGATTACACTAAAATCAGCTTTGCTGCTACTTTCACCAGGAGCAAGATAGAGCAGAAAACTTCAGCAAATCAAGCACATAACTGTTAAAACTACTCATCCAGCAAACTTTTTCCATTTAGTTTCAGCCCACACTGGCTTTGCCAGAGCTGATGAGGAGGTCCCCTGGGACATATGCAGGAAGTTCAGAGGTTCCCCCTGCCAGACTATTCTGCACATAATCCTGTGTACCTGCCTGCTCGGAGGGGTCAAAGGCATGTGAGGTCTTGTTAGGGCCTGCCAGAAGTGGCCTAATTCCAGCCAGTGTGAATAATTAGGAAGCAAAATAATCTTGGTGCTGTAATTTCATTACAGTGTATGTACACTTCCCTTCTCCCTGGCTCAGCTCTCCTGAAGAAAATGAAGTGGGAAAGGCTTGTATTACTGACTATATTCCATATTTTTCCTGAAAATATAGGTAATAAACTCACTAAGTAAACACTGAGCTTTAACAAATGTTACACTTCCATGTATTTTGTTTCATCAAAGACATTCAAAGCAGTAATTAGAAACAACTGGAAAGCTTGGAGAAGCTCTCTCTATTTAAGTAGAATTGCCAAGAGGGAAGAAGCGTTTTAAACATTTAAATGTCCTCCTCCTAAGCCAAACATGATGTTTTGACTCTATAATAAAGATAAATATACATCAGTCTAACACAGTTTACTCTCCTTCACTCCTTGAGCTGGAAATAATATGGTTCAAGGGCTAGGGCATTCTGCTGGGAACCAGAAGGGCTGGGTTTTAAGCCTGGATCCTTCACCAATGTGCTGCATAGCACTGGGTAAAACACTGCCATTGTTCTCTGCCTCAGTCTTCCCATCTGCAGAGCACCTTGAAATCTATAGAAGAAACGTAACAGGCCAGGCTACTTCATTTTCGGGAAGGAGAGTCTCTCCTTCATCCCTTGGGTTTAATTCATCCAGTAAAGAACGAGACTAATTGTATGCCATACAGAGGAAGAAAGAAAGGCAGAATAATACTGAGATTAATTATGACAGAATGATAGCTGGAAAGAGAGGGGCCACCTTCACCTTTTCTCCCTTTCTTTTGCACTTCTTAAAATCTGCATGACCAAGCCAAGGGAATTAAAATGCTGATCCACTCCAAATCAGCAGAAAGGCTTGCACCAACGTGTTGAATGTGCAGCTTCTGCGGTATTACCAGACCAGGGATAAGGGGCCAAGCTTGGGTCACAAACTCAATTCCCTCTTGTGGCAGCAAAATGTGTTGTCAGAAAGCCACAGCGTGACCCTGTTTCTGCATATGATCATGCTAAAACCAGATAGTTTCACAGGATCGGTTTTAAAAATGCAGCCAAACCAACAAAGGGTGTCACTGCCCTTATTTTTGTCCATAAATTAGCACACACAGATGTAAGTTTCCTTTGCCCAAAGAGACTATCTATTGAATTATTGGGACACCATGAAGCAAGACAATCCCCAATGTTTTTTAAGATGTTATTTTTGGTTCTTTCGTTTCATTGACCTTTCTCTGATTTACTGAGGGTGAAGAGGAAGTTCATATAATCGGAATAACATCCTATTTTGAACATCTCTTGCATTTGTAGCCCTGCAATTAAAATAGCTGGTTTTGTTATTTATGTGCGTTGAGTACTGGAATAATAAATGTTATGCTTGCATGCATTTAATTTAATGTAATGCCAGTGCAGACATGCAAAATAGCTTAAGCACTGAAAACAATGTTAAATATCTGCTAAACAGCTTCTAAATATAGCTTATCAGGACGTGTGTTTACTTTGGCCTTTTGCTGACTTGGCTTGATTTTAGATAAGGACTTGCCTTGCAGCTTTCTTTTTCAAAATGTAAAAGTAGATTTCATATAAATGGTGTCTTTAATAGGTTGTGGAAAAACAACTCTCTCATAGAAGCAGCCAGAAA